CATATACCTGTAAGGGATTCCCTGTGCTGTGTCGTCATTATAGTGTGAAAATTAAGAAGGCTTTCACCTATAACAATGGTTAATAGAAGTGTACAAATTCGGGATTATAATTAAATGATGAATAAACTTATATAAAATGTAGTACATATGCATTATATATATATGTGCATGTAAAATTGTACAAAAATATAAGCATTTGTATATATACTAACTGAATACAAGTATTAAAAATATGAATTTCACAAAAATTGCAATATAAATTCTATTAATTAAAACTATTTTGAATTTTTTATTCATTCCATACTCTTAGAAAATTATTCACTTTTTCTAGGTTTTTATATTGTCATCCAATTTTTGAAATATATATAGTTTTTTTAAGCCATTTCTCTTGTAAAAACACGTAAATTTATCAACTTACCAGTTTCAAATATGATTATATTTGTTCCAAAATTTATTGTTTACTGTATTTATGGGTTCTTATTTAAAAATTTTCTGAGATCTATGTCTATTTATTTTCTATTTAGGTTATTTCGGAACAGCATCATAATTTTCTAATGATGGTCAAAAATTTAAAACTAGCCTGCATAGTAATTTACTACATATGTGCCAATCCATAGTGATCCAACTTTATAATCAATGAATATTTCATTAAAGGAGTCACTCATACTGCAAAGATTCTACTATTATGTATTCGATATTTTATATGAGAAATTCAGATTGTTCACCTTTATCTAAGTTGCTCATTATTAATTTCATACAGAGTAAACTTAAAATCTTGTATATTATTGGATCAAATTTTATTTACAGTTTAAACAAATGCAAAAACCATGTTTTCGCTCATACGTATATTATAAATTTAATTAATTGTTCGTCACTATACTTGGACCCTTAATACAAGTCCAGCAATCATACTACGTTCCTGGTTTAAGCGCGACTACGTCGCGCAGCTACCCTAATATAATATATAGTAAGATTCTTACTACGAATAAATAGATATTCTGAATGGCATTAGTTACGCTACACTATCGTTATTTTATTGTAAATGTTCACATCAGATTTTTTCAGATGAAATTATATCGATATTGATATAAGGCTGCTATGGTGATAATATAGATAATACAAAAAACAAATCAATTTTTAATTATTCGCATACCAATACAGTAACTTGTCGCTCTATATAAGCCACACCTTTCTTCTATAATGGTCAGGTGAGAAGAGTTTAACGTTAAATAAAATACAATCTTATGTGAGTGCACAGCCTACCGGCTAAATTTACAAGTTTTACTTGTTATTCCCTATCAAGTAGAAAATAAATTTTATGTTGACTGTGAATGGCATGTTTATTGCAGGTTATGAAAATGGAAGAAGGGGCGTGGATTATTAAACAACTGTAACGGTAGACATATGTACTTAGCGTTTTTTTTCTCGACACTAAATACCTTTTTATTACACCAATACTTTTATTTTATTTGACATTATGATAATAATGACAAGAAATCTTAGATGCCTTATTGGAGGCATTTTAGGAATCCCGTTAATAATTTTAATATTACTTTGTCCGGTCTTTGGTCGGTTAATTATTTAATGACATTGTCTGTAGTTTGATGTTTTGCAATAACATTTAAGGGTATCTTTTCTAATATCTACTTTATAGAAATATTGAAATTTCAATATTTTTTTCAACAAATTACACATGAAATGAAATTAGCAAATGTGATAATCGAATTTTGGTATGCTTTCAAACTTTGTAAGATTATTCTTGTATGTCTCTAATTTGATGATTGTTTCCTTCCTAATAGTTATTTAGTCTGCACTATATCGATACCTTGTAAGTAATATTTCAGAATTCCTCCAAACTCTGTTATTGATTATTTTTGCTGTTTTAACCAAAAATTTATGCCCATACGAAATGATGAAACTTTAGTTAGTTTGATAGTATCTGCAATATGTAATTGTTGTAGAATAAAAGTTTTTGTTGAAACATTCAAAGAGGAATTATTGTGATTATCTTTTTAATTTGACATTCTTTTTTTTTTTTTTTTTTTTTTTGAGATTTCACTAACGGAATGACAATTTTTTTAACCAGTCCTATACTTTTGATATGGTTAATTGTCACAAGTAAGATAATATATATGTATATATATTTACATTATGAAACAATTAATGTACTGCATTTACCATTCTATCATTCATAAATTCTTAATTCATAAGTAAGTTACTCGTTAATAACCGAAAATGAAATAAAGCCGATCCCCTCATACTGTCCTTCGGATTTCCCTTACCCACGGGATATTTCAATAGTAGCATGTAGGATAAGACTAGCGAATTTAGTTTTCATGTGGCTGTTTACCTTGTTCGGTGGTCTATGGATACAAGCTGCTTATTTCGGAATTTTGCCAGAGGATAATGATTTAAAAAGGTTGACGGGGACACATTCTTATGATTATGAGAGACCGCCTCCTTATTGGTCTAATTAACCGAGTAAAAGATTGTTTTTATTTTTGTTAAGATTTCTAATATTTGTTTTATAAATATACTAATGAAGTGTCACATGCTTTGACCAATAAAAAATTGCATTATATAGAGCAACTTGAGAAAAAAATTAAATAGTTCTTTTCTGTATATAAGATACCACTTAAATTTATTTGGCGTGCGAGTAAAAAAAAAAAAAAGGTTGCTTCGTAATTCGTTTTAGTCATATTACATAACTGATAATGGGTTATTCATATACGTATGTACTTCGCGGGATGGAGTGTCGACATTTGAATCTATCGTGAAATCGACTTTTCAAGGTCTTGATTAATTCCGGTCCAGTCGATTAAGATTCTGTTCCGGAGGAGTTGTTTTTTGATTCGAATCAGGTTTTACACACACGCTCGGACTGAAATGAACCATTAACATCGCTCCCAAATTTGCAATCATGAAACTGTGAAGATTTTCAGGTTAAAAATATTAGCCTATTTTAAATGTGTCCCCAAATTTCAGGGTTGGAATTGTGGTCAACTGGGCCGGAATTAATGAATTTTGTCCAAGAATCAGGGTTATAAAATTACAGTAATTTATTCGAAAGTTACCATAAGTTACTAAAAAATGTGTTATCAGTAAGCTTCGTCCGGATCATTTTGTCTTAATGCTAGCAGAAGTTATTAAATTGTATGGTAACTTACCACGGTAAGTTACTACTAACAATCCTGCCAAGAATACTCAAAGGTTACTAACGAGGTCTTAACTCATTTATTCAATAAGAATGCCCAACTGAGCTGGTATTTCTTAGTGATGACAACTTCGATGAATTCCGACTAACTTCATTATCTTGTAGTCCTCGTTGGATTTTGAAGACAAATTACCATTTCTGTATATAGATTTGGATATGATCAGAGTATCTAATTTTATTTAAATTTTTTGGAGCGTTTTTTTTTTTATAGCCTTTTTTTAGGATTGATTAGGACAGGTTTAGTAGGGTTGATGTTCTAGATTGAGACCCCAAATTTCAGCATTAGCTGCTACACAATCATTATGGGACCTTAGAATAAAAAAAGGTTCATGGAACTATCATTCTGGAAGTGACGAGCCTATGAACTACTGTAGACTAGTGATGATACCATTAAACGCTATGTAATTCAGAAATAAGATATAGTATATTTTATACTAAAAATGGAGAAAATTGATTTTTTAAAACAATTACGTATACATACAGGGATTTAATTATTTTATAGCATGTTTAAGAAATTGCATGTTTTTTACATAATTGATGACGTACTGTACGTATCCTTGCATTAGACTAAGATCCAAAACAGGTAAATTTTGGTCACATATATAGGAAGTTTAAAAATTCCAGTAACTTTATTTAACATCATATGGTTTATGTGATGATGAGTTTAAGCTTACATTCATTTCTATTTCATTATAAAACTAATGAAGATATTATGATAAATTCATATACAAATAAGAAACAAAATATCCAAAAAGATTTATTCCGTTATAGGCAGTTATGAAACAACACTTGCCGTTTTAAATAAAATAAAGTCTTTGAAAAGATCACAAAATAATGTATTTGAATTAAACTATCAAAGAACAATCTATTTTAACGAGAAAACGTTTATGAAATTTGAACCAGATAATACAATATCACTAAGATACCTATTACATAAAAAATTATTGAAAATTAGATAAAATGATGCATTGGAAAAATTGAAGCCATGAATAGTTAAGAGAATGTATGTATAATATTCACTTAAAATTATAAAATAACTTTAAAATTAGTATTTACTAATTAACATATAGTTTATTTACATCAGCTTGCGAATATTTAAAATTCTTTAAAAATAACACTGTTTTGAGCTAATTCATAGACGCTTTTATATTCTAATCGATCTCTCTCTAATTGACTCGATAAATTTAATTAATATATTGTGTATAACCAATATATATAGGCCGCATATTCCGTCAAACCATACTCCAACCTATTAAAAGGAATTCACTCGATTAAATCTTTATAAGATATAGCTTTAAATTGAAATTCTTTGATGCATTATCACCGTTCTTATTTCTACTTGTTCATCTCCGTGTTTATTTATGATTTGTAAAAATAAAAATTAGTTGGCATTAGCTATAATTCTGACTGATTTAGTGTGAATATGTTCTTCGGGAAATGACTCAGAAAATCATAATAACTCCTTTACGCAATTAATTTATTTTCTTAGCTTCGTAGCAAAACCTACAGTATTATTCCTTTAATGAAAGGTAGTATAGGAAAAGGTCTCTTAACAAAGAGAATAAAGGATTTTAGAGTATCTCAAGTACGGCGGTTAAAATTTTTCGAAAGTCATTTTCCCGAAAGAATATAGCCCCAATTACTGTTGTTTTCATAAATTTTAGGACGCCTAAAAATTTGCTCGTTTCCCAAAACCTCTTCGATCTCATTCCAAGGACAACGAAAAAAGTTGGATGATTTTTAGAGTAAACCAGCAAGCATTATAACTTCAAGGTTGGCATTTACTATGCTTTTCTATTGGCGCATAATTCTACTTACTTTTTTTTTATTTTTCTATTGTAAATTTTTACTACTAAGAGAGAAGCATGACAGAATTATTGCCTTAATCATGATATATCCATTGCAAGCATCATAGAAACAAAAATTTCTGACAAATTTAACCTCTTTTTCTGCAATAATAACTTTTTTACATGTAATAGTTGTTAGCATTACTACAGAAACAGACCAAGCTATCAAACAATTAACAGATCAGATTGTCAAACTTAGTATTAACTTGGCCTAGCAACAGCAACCACTCCAACCTTAATCTGCTAACTATGCAGTTACACCTAACCCTCACAGACCTCAAGCCAAAGATCTACATCATTGTCACTACTGTGGACATACAGAACATTTTATTGCTGAATGTATTTTAGCATTAAACTTTATTAATAAATATAAAAATATTTTATATATTTAAATAGTTATAAATTATTAATAAAAACATTTTTTTTATATAAAAACAAAAAATTGAGCTTTTGCTCTATTGTTCCTTTCGATAAAATAGCTATTAGGAACTTAAGTTACAATGATATTATAGTAATAAATAAATTAGTAGTAGATCATAAAGTTGATATTATAGCTAATTCTCCAATATTAAAAAGTACATTTCGTCGGTAAAGGCATTGAAAGTATTATTTTCTTTGTTGATTCTCAATTATTTTTCAGTGTTTAACGAATGAACCCTTGTCAGCAATGACCTTAAATGACCTATATGACCTTTATGACTTGTCATAGGTTATTTGATCATAACGAAGATTGATATATGACTTATGACCTTTTTTAATATATTAAGAATCATAGTAAATTCCTTTTTTTGTTAGGAACGATATGACAATGACCAAAAAGTCATATGATTATATGACCAAGGTCATATAGAAAAAAATGGTATGACTAGGTCATTGACTTGTCAGCAGAAATTTCAATGTACCAGATTGAATTTTATAGCATCGCACCTATTCATAAAGTATTAATGATTGACCCAGTGCGAATTTCTGTTAATTTATTAAGAATACTATAATACTCTTTCTAGTTCCAATTGCCCTGTAGACGAATCTCGGTAGCTTTCTGATCATGGTTTGAGACAAGGAATTGGCTCATGATTCTATCAATTAACATCGGAATATTTATTAAGGATTTCTACCTTTCTAAAAACTCGAATTTTACAGAAATTAGGTCTAAAGTTTATTATTATGATTTGAAGGTTTATTTTTGATGTGAAAAACCCACGCTTTTATATAACTATTAGACCTAAAATATCAATCTATTTAACAATCCTCTTCAGTTGCTAAATCACTCCTGGTTTCTTGAAACCGAAATTTTAATAATTTATTTGATTGAAAATGAAACATATATTTGGATTTTGGTTATTATCAGAAATCTAGATTTCCGAACCCAATCTACCTAATAACCTCACATACAAATAAAAGGTTTGGTTCGCACCCCTATTTATTAAAGACTGTTAACGCATAAATTTTTCTGTATTGCTATATAAAGCAGCAATTTTGAAAAAACAAAAACACCTTAACATTAAACATTAAACCCGTAACTACGCATACAAGTTTTATGAGCTTCAATCAAATTTCGGCATTTTTCTTCGTCTCCAGTTTGAAATATGCATTCGTCACGAGCTTTTTTGGTATCCGGGCATGCACAACATGGTTTAACCGATGGATGTGGTTGTGACTGTTCTGAAGGTTGATGAATAGCGGTAGTAATAGTTGAAGTGGAAAGTTGATTTATTCCGGTTTCGTTGTTTGCTGACATTGTAAAGTTAATCCACAATGAAAAATTTTTTAGACCCAATTACATAGTTTATCAGTAAATATGTATATAAATAATATGACGATCCGATTTTCACTTGATTAGAAAACGTAAATGTCATCACTAATAAAAGTAAATTTAACATTTAGGTAAGAAAATCTCTTATTTTTTTTTCACTTCCAAAAAGAAAAAAAAAAGAGGCTAAATATCCATCATACCTTTTTTGATGGTTCTTTTTTTTCTTTTTTTTTAAAAAAAAAAGAATGTGGAGAACTATTGTTCAATAATGTCAGACAAAAAATTATAGAAATACCCTCAAGAATTAATCCACCAAAACCTACTACTATGGAAGATTTGGTTCGTTAATATACATTATAAACCTGAAATTTTTTAGATGGAATCTTAGAAAACTAATTTAATATTGATTCGCTGTCGATAAAGATTTTATGGATTAAAGATAATTTACTCCAAGAGCGGTCTGAGTTATTTGTTAGCGGTAACAGTGTAGGTTTCCTCCTTTTATCTCGAAAATATCTATTATAATATATAATTTGTAATAATACTTTTTTCTTAAATTGATCAAAAAATTAGTAGACCTGGTAATTTAGTTTTAATTAATGATACAGATTGGGAACTAGAGGGAGAATTAGAATATAAAATTAAAGATAGTGACGATATCGTTTTTATATCAACTTTACATGGTGGTTAAAATATAATAATAAGATTATTATTTATTTCTCATTGGGTTGTATTAAACGCAATTTGCAAACTTTTTAATGTTATACTGTACTAGACATGTTTAAGTTTGAATATTTGAATGCTATTAGATTTTGTTTTAGGCAAATTTGTATAGAATTGTGGTATAATTATTTTTAATTTGCTTTTAGACATTAGGTAATGTAAAGTTAATTAATTTGTTCTTGTAACCAAATTTGAAAATTTTTTGATGGTTTAAGTTTTTTTTAAAAAAAAGTTATAAATTATTATATCCAATATATACCATATAATCTCGAAATAACACGCAGGGGTGTTATGTCGGTCATTACTCAAAATAACGCTCCTGTGTAGTATTTCGCAGTTATATGGTATAAATTTAAAAAAAACGGTCGGCTGAGTTTATTTAAAAAGTTTATGTTATGAGAACCATTAAATTAAATTTGTATAGTCTTAAAACATTTAATTGATATTTTTTAATTATTATTACATATTGGACGATTTGATTCCATATCGATTTTGTCACAATAAACACTGATTAGGCATCCAATTTTATAAAAAAAAAAATCAAAAATTATTCTAATCTTGATTTATAACAAAGTATTTTTTATTTTTTTTAAACTTTGTCAATATGTCAGGTAGTAAATTCACTACAAGACATAATTCAATCAAGAAACTAAAGAGTTCCTAGTAGTGATGATTAGCATAGCATAGAATGGTTTTTATAAAAACATATAAAAATGACAATGTGAAGTTTTTGTCATATGGGAAAATGAGGCAGAAATTAATATAAAAATCAAAAAAGAAAAAAAAAACACAGAAAGATTACTGACAAAAAATGAAAATAAGATTAGATTTGGAAAATGTTCTAGTAGAATAGATAAAAATCAAATTATAGTAAAGGCAAAGAAAAAAAAAAAAAGAGATGAAAAAAATTCAAGAAACATGGTTTAACTTGGTAACAAATTTTATATATAATAAATTGAGATTGTTTACATATAATCTTTTTAGTTAATTTGATACAATTCTTGAATTTGAATAAAATCTTCAATCAGTATAATAGATTGTCTCTAGTCACTTATAAAAATAATTGAAGAATATTGAATCAGAAAATTTAAATTAAAATATATATAACTTATATATAAGAATCTTAATCAAAATTTATAATAAAGGAAAGACTTATGCAAAGGATCAAAAAAATAATGATTAGACTCAATATACAAAGCAGACTATGAAACTTTTTGCAATTGTGAAAACTGAGTTTTGAATAGTAAGTATTGTTATAAAGTAAAAGCCTTCTTAATTTCACACTATAACAATAACACAGTATAGAGAATTTCTTACAAGTATATGTAATATCCAAGAGAGAAATATAGTTTCTGTTAGATATTATTAAGAAATTATACCCATCTCTGAGGCAGAATAATAATTATTACATAGTAGTTTATAGTTAAAACTATTTATTAAGATAATAATAAGAAGTTATTTTTAGACACCTGTTCTAAAGGATTCAAGATATAATTTACAAAATAAAGAGAGAAAAAGAATTGTCTGTTTTTCTAAACTGTTAACTATAAAACTTATTTTGACTTAAAGGAATTTTAAGGGTTTATATATCTGTGAATTAAGTAATTAAATAACTAAGTAATTAAGAAACTAAGCAACTAAGTAACTAAATGACTAAGTGACTAAATAACTAAGCAACTAAGTGACTGATGTTACAAGCTTAAGACATTAAAATATTTAAAAGATTAAAATAACAATAATTAATAAATAATACAATAATAAAAATATAATATACTAAGATAATAATATAATAATAATAGAAATCTATTCTATAACAGTATTTTAATAGAAGACAATTACTTATTCTTAGAAATTATTATTATTATTTTTTTAATATTAAGGCAAGTACTTGTGATCCAGGAATTTGAAGATGAGTCAATAGAAAAGAAACAAATTATTTTTATTGAAATTTTTTTAATTTTTAAATTTAAATAACTCAACAACTATTTAATTAAATTTGCTAAAAAATTTTTTATTTTAATCTTAAAATTATATAGAATTAAAATAAAAAAAAATTATCAAATTTAATAAAATAGTTGTTAAAATATTTAAGCTTAAAGTCAAGAAAGCTTTTGCTTAGAAAAAATTTGTTACTTTTCTATTGACTTACCTCCATTTATTAGTAATCTGTTAGTATATAACTTTTATATACAACAACTATAGAGGCATTCATAAAAAGAGTATACAACTAGTTATTTGTATAACTTTAGTTATTGTCTATTTTAAATAGTTCATCTAAAGGTTCTATACTAGTTGCTATATCTAAAACCTGCTTGTGGATTCTCTATTTAAATATTCTAGTTCTTATATCTACTTCTATTCTACTAATTGCAAATATAACATAATCACTAAGTCCTATTTAACTTTGTATTAAGTCTATTGAAGCTTTCTGTATTTTATACTTATAGCTAACTCAGTACTGCTTTGGCCTAGATATTATTTGCAATCAAATCTAATTATTAAACTACTATATCTTTGTAAAGTTTATTAGAATTCTAATATCTTTCTTTCCTAAATTTTATCTTTTATTTTTGAACCTACAAAACTTCACAAACTACTAATCTAAATGACTTAATATAGTATTTAAAGATCTTTTTCTGATAATGATTCTTGATGATCTGGTTGGTATATGCTTCTCTACACATGTTGTCATTCAATTCATCCTAATTATTTTTTTTAAGATCTTCTGATAATCTGATAGTATTGTCAAAAGTCCATGCTACCTTTTTATTTAAGATTTCTAAGTAGGTTTCTGTATTTCAGTTTCTTAGTGTTATATACTTAGTAGTCTTATTATAGATTTGTACTAGAGTTTTATACAACACTAATTATTAACATTCCTCTATATATATGTAACATTATATTTCACATAGATGTTCCAAGCTTCTATTCAAGATGGTGTCCTTAAGATTACAAATTATCTTTTTTATCCAACTGGTTAACAAAACACAGTTATCATAACATAGATATAATTTTTAAATTTTGACATCTATAAAATTTGAATACTAGATCTGCTACTTGGAAGTTAACAACTTGTTTACTTTATTAGATTACTACACTCTCTTAGAAATTATTTTATTATATTATTTTAAAAATTATATACATAATTTTTTTTATAATATTAAATCATAACTTATATATTATTTAGTTTTTTGTATTACTATTATATATAGATATATTATATTTGTGCTACTAGCTTCAGATATTCAATATAACATTACATTTATATTTCTTTATATATTTTTTTTTGTAATCTTTACTATATATTTTAATCATTATTATTAAACTACCAAAAAGACTATAAATTACTTTGTTATATTTGAATTTCTTTTTACCTTTAGCTTAATAGCAGTTCATTTATTTTCTATTTGCAATAACTTATCCTTCTTCTAAATTAGTTAACTTTAGTAGTTTTTTGCTTTTTTTGTTATCATTTAGTATATACAGTTATATATATTTTTTAGTATTTTATTAATATAATTAAATTTATTAAGATCTGAATTAGAAATATAGTGACCTAATAGGTTGTTAACCCTTAAGTAGCAGATTTAAGGTTTAATTTTTACAAATAACAAATTTTGAAAATTATATTTGTATTATGATAACTGTTTCTTGTCGATTAGTTAGGTTTATGTATCTGTAATTTTAGATATACCAGGTTAGGGCCCACTTGAATTTGGAAGCTTGAGGCATCTATATAAAGTATAATATTATATATATATAAAGAAATATGAAAAACTAGTATTATATAAGGCTTTAGTACAAACCTATAATAAGATCACTAGATATAAAAAATTAAGAAACTGAGAAGATAAAAACTTATTTGAAAATCCTAAGTAAAGAGATAGCATAAACTTTTAATAATACTGTTAATCTGATAGAAGCCTATAAAACACCTTTAAAGGAACTGTCAAATAAACTAGATAACAGGTATATAAGAAAAGCATATATACCAACTAGGCTACTAAAATTGCTGAAGAAAAAGGATATATAAGTGTACCATATTGGGCTATTTGGATTAGTAGTCTGAGAAGCCCTATTGGTTTTAAGTAGTAATTAATAAGAGATGATAAAAAAGATGTTTAAAAAAATAGATACCAGAGTTTGGGTGAACTTTACAAAAATAATAGCAATTTAATAGATAACTCTAACTGCAAATATTAGTTTTAGCCATAATGTCAAACCAGATTAGCAATAAAAAAGAGAATATAGCTCACTTTAATAGGTTTATTTTAAGAATAAAAATAGTCTAAGGATTATAGTTTTATAGTTAAAGATAAAAAGATCTGGATCTATAATCTAGTAAAATTAATACTAGGGTCAGATCAAAAAGTTTAAATAGAACATCTAAGCAGAAATGTTAAGTATAACAACTGGTAAAGAACCTTTAGGCAGACTTCTTAAATAGGTAATATAGAAAATTTACATGTGTAGCTAGTTGTACACTCATCTAATAGTTTAATATGAATATGTCTATATAAAACATTAGGGTGTTGCATATCATATAATTAATTATTATAATGCAATACTATATAGAAGCCTGCAAATTGTCTATTTTTGAAGCTTAGCTTAGCTTGCTTTTAGGGTTAAAATTTTTTTGCTAGTCCAACTTGTCTTACATTTAGGATTAAAATTTTTTTGCCAGCTCAGCTCAGCCTAGCTTACATATATTAAATTTTTTCTTTAGCCTGATTCAAACCAGCCTAATTCACAAAATTTTTTATATAATTTTACAAAATTTTAGATCTAAACTGGCTTGCAATTATAAAATTTTGTAAATTTTTCAGTCTGGTCTGGCTTGCAATTACTGTTCTGCATAGATTGGATCAGATAAATATTTTTAAAGATTTGGATCTGATTCAAAAAACCAGATTGAATTCAAGTTCAGATCCAAATCCAGATAAGAAAGATCCAAACCCAAATTCAGATTTGATAAAAAAAATTATATACTAATGTTTTCTTAAAGTATACACTTATTTATATAATTGCTTTAATATTTTTTTACTTTTTATTTAAGATGTATTGGTTTTTAAATTGTTAATAATGTATCTTTAAAAAGAACTTTCAAACCAATTACATCTAAAAAACTTTAAATATAGATTTTATAATTTAAGTAAAAACAAGTGTTTAATATACTCATTATAGTTGATCAAATTTTTTATTGCAAAACCAATATTAAATTTTAACATAATGATTTCAATGAAGTAACATGAATGTAATACTAAATACTACCTTTGAAATATTCTTTCTGACAATGCAAGATCTAAGGTATAAAATTATATTAATAATAAGACCTGTTATTTATAAAAACAAAATAATAAATTATAGATCTTTGCTAACAAAATAACCTTCAGGCTATTATTTTTATATATAATCTTGAAGTATTATTTTATTAGCAAAAATTTCAAATATTTTCTTTGTTATGCATATATATATTACAAGCTGCTTTAATTTGTTTGAATTTGCAAATAATATTTTACTTTTGCTCATTATATAATAAGCATCTTTGAGTTCTTAATACAAATAATTCATCATATCTCTTATTAAACAATAATGTTTCTACAAAATATTAATGCAAATGTATCATCTAGTTTAATTTCAAGACTTTTTAAATATGCAAGTGGCATTTTATATCTGCCTATTAAATGTTTTCATGACTTCTTAATGCAATGTATTATTTAGTTCAATTTCTGATGATTTATTTAAATCAGAAAGTAACTTATTATATTTGCTCAAGTATGGCTTTAATATAATCTTAATAAAAATAATTGCTCAATAATTTAGCACTATTTAATAATATTAAGATATATATATACAGTTCATCTAATTTTTTCCACTTTGACCTTAAACACATCACCATTCATACTATTTTTTCACTCAATCAATTACACTTTTCAGTTATTATATTACTACTAATACTAAAAATTTGTTTGCTTAGAATACTTGTAGTAGGTATTGAAAGGCAATCTTTAGCAAACTTTAAAAGATTTGGATAATTAGTTTCATTTATTTACTACTATTCTAAAATGTCTATTTGTGAATCTGCATGTGATGCACATGAGTACATATCAAGCTTGCTTTGGCATTCAATACAGTTTCATTTGTAAATTTGTGATATTATATTCATTGTTAATAGTTCAACAATTGAGTTTACTACATCTTAACTGAGAACAGATGCATATTGATTTTCATATTTATTTTTGATTCTATAAAGTAGTAAGTATGAATTAATACATTATATTGATTACATATTTTACAATATAAATCATAAACTAACATGTCTTTTATTTTACTAATAAGATGTGATAACTATTTGAATTCTTCAAAATATTAAAACTTAAGTCATGAATTTAATACTATTGCTGAAATATGCTACAAATTTGTCTTGTAACAATATTCTAAAAGCTTCATAGTTGCAACTTAATATTCTTGTACAAGCCATTGTGGTGCATCATTTTTTAGCTGAATCTCATCAAGTATTTCAAGCAATATGTAATAAAAAAAGATGATCATTGATAGTATTAGATATTCAGATAATAATATAATAGTTGTTACTAAACAAAAATACATATTTGGTATAATAAGTTTATTAATATTAAACTAATAAATTATAATACAAAACAATTTACTAACCATCTTTAAATAGTTTTAAGACTTTAATTAAAAGTTTGATCTTATTTCATTCATCTTCACTAAGAACATACTGCCACAAATCTGTTTCAACTAGAATGACATTATCTAATACCTCTTGTAATATTACAGCTCAGTTACACATTTTGAAGATAGAATTCTACATTATGTTCACATCAAGTATCAGCTTCAATTGACTTAAATTGTGAATTTGACAATCTCTTATGATGTTTTGATGATTCTTTAACACTTTTAATCAATAAGTATAACTAGCAAATAATATAAAAAAATAAAAGTAAAAAATAAATAAAAAACAATAAAAAAAAAATATATATATATATATAAAACTAAGATGATCTCATCAACTCAATTCTATTAATAACAAAGAATGCTAATCCTTTTTAACTCACTTTCCATAACATCTAACATGCTTTGTACTGCAAAATGCAAAATATTACCAAAACATTATATCAACTACTGTGTACTATCGAACTAGATGCCAGTTTGTGATAAAGAACATGCAAATTCTTGCAAAAACTTATAGTTTGATAATGCATTATCACATATAATTGCAACTAGTTTTGAGATAATTTCTATTTCTTGAAGACACACTTTCATTGCATCTGATATCACAGCACTCATATATAATCTATTCATATTAATGAAATCTAACAAAATGTTTTTAAGCTTTTATGACACATTTATATAGTGAATAATTATTGTTATAAATGACTTATTATAGGATTGATCATCCATATATCAGTAGTTACTAATATACCTCCAGGTATTTCTTGCAACTTTTCTCAAAGCTTTTTGCATTCTATTTCAAAGTTATACATTACAATTCTTTTTATTAAATTGGCTAAAGATGCTATAAACAATATATAAATATATATTAAGTATTTTAGTGTTTTATTATCAAGTTCTATACTAACTAAACATTATCTGTTGCATAAGAATCTAAAAATTTAAAAATCAATCCAAGTTCTTTATCTTCAATAATTTGAAAAGGTCAATTACATTTAATGATCTACTTTTTAATAAGTTTATCAAATTCACTTTTAGTAAAAGATTTACAAAAATTATTAATTTAATAAATACAATTATGTCTTAATTCACATAAGTATTTCTTCTTCTAATTACCATATGTTTTTAAAACTTACATTTATTTTATTATTCAATATGTCAATAACAAAGACATCATCTTGTTTTACATTCAGTTTTTTTAATTCAGATACTTTACTTTTATGCACCTTAAGATGTTTTTTAAGATTCGATATGATCCTATCTTGGTATACTAATTTCATATCACAAAATTACATATTGCATTGCTGTTTTTTTTTAAAAATAGTGCAAAACAAAAGATCTACAATATAAAGTATCTGGTAAGCAAATATGTATAAAATAATAACATAACTGTTCATTGAAATATTTTTTTCAAATTGTATATATAGGTATAAAGTTATTCAATATTGCAAATCTTCTTACCTGAGAGATACTGTTTTGCTGCTACAACCTTTTGATTAAGTCAGAAGTGATTTACTAACTTCAGTTTTATCTGTACAGATGGATGCTTGTTCATAATTAGATTTATTAGGTTCTTCATAAGGGGAGATAGACAAGATCATTATTGTAAAAAAAACTTTACTAGCTGAACAGCTTTAAAGTTCTGAAAGTTCTTTGTATTAAGTTTTTTTTTTAGAAAAAGAAAGTGTTCCATATTCATTATCATAATACAAGGTTTCTAATATTAAAAATAAATTACATATAATATTAGAAGCCTGCATTAGGTGTCTTGCAACCTAGCCTAGTCTGCAAATTTTTGCAAGCCAGACTAGGTTTGAAGCAAAATTTTATAATTGTAGGTAGTGTTCTGCAAGATCTAATCTGAGATCTAGATCTGATCTGAATCTGATCTGGATCTAGTGTTTCAAATCAGATCAGATCTCTAATAAATCAAATTTAATAAATTTAAATCTATATTAGAATTTAATCTAAAAATCTATTTGGATCTGTTCAAATGACAAATGATAATTAGCTATAAACATTACACTCTAATTGATTAATCTAGCATTAGTGCAATCTGTAATTCTATAATGTGCTTTTTAATATTGTTTTTTTGGATCAAAAGTATAGGTTTCACTAAGCTATTTAATTTTTTTATACATAAGATATCTTTATGCCATTTAGGTCATAATGATGATAAAGGAAAAATAGCTAACTTTGAACAATTTTTTATTTTCTTTTTTTTAACATAATGATGAACTTATTTTATACTGATGAGAATATCTTTAAAGCTTCACAACATATATAAAGGAAAAAAGTTTCAATAATAAATTTAAAATTTTTTTTTTCCAGGTTTAAAGAGCAACGTCTATGGCTCGTGATCTTTTATTAAGACTTACAATCTACAAATATTGTAGGAGGGTATTACATTTTGCATATCAATGAGGCTACAATTAGCCACTCGTATAACTTTAGTCATTGTCTATTTAAAGGTTCTGCCTACAGGTTACCTACTAATTACTATACCTGAAACCTGCCTGTGGGTTCCCTATTTAAAGTCTCTGATTTTCAATATTTTTTCTGTAGTACCAACTTAATTTTTTTAATAACAGACCTTAGGGCTACTTTACTCTTGACGCAAACTCTACCGAATGGAAGTAGATCCCATGACTACACCTATTTGGATTTATGATGCCAGAGGTGATTCCATATTAG